ACTGATCTGTCAGGTTTACGATATGCGTCCCCCCCAATGACAGACTCGTTCCTACACCCTTGACGGTGCCAGTTTGCTCTCCCTTTCCAAACATGTTAAAAGTTGCAAAAACAGCCGTTAGAGTCTGGTTCAGGTTTAGCAAGTCACATGGCAGGTGCTAAGTCATTGCATATAAATATCCTCCTCCCAGTATTGTGCATGTTCTGATGATCAGCTTATGTTTTGTATATTCACAAATTTATTGTGTCTGTTATTCTCTTAAGTTTGCTGAATCTTGGTTGCATGCTATCAAGTTTGCCTCTATTTTTGTCCATGCAAAAATAGGACATGAGGCCCGTTGTGTTTGAAGACCCAGAAAAAACCGGATGCTCTTGCACATTGCTGTTGATTTTCTGCTGATGCAAAATTTTGGCAGCAAACCAGCTTCATGTCCAACTAAATTACCTTGTTGCAGTATAAAATGTAGGCTTATGCTAACTAATTAATTACAAAGCAAGTGGCATTTTATGTGCATTTTGACTAAAATACATCTTGCATTGGTGTGTTTCACTTTTCTTACAGCATATGGTCAGGCTGATGATGGCAACTGACACTGCAATCCATGGCAGCATTTTGCAGAGTTTTACTCTTCTGGAGGAACTTTTCCTCACAGCTGGTTGTCTTTGTGTCTGTTGACCTGCAGAGGAAAAATGAGGGAGGAAATTAGCATTGAAATTGATCAGGGAGTAAAACGAACTTTATGTTCTTATATTTGTGTATCTGGTTTAAATAACATGTTTAAATATATAATGTAGTATTAGGTCTTAAATTTATTCTTAAGGCTCATTTTGACCAACGGTCGTTTAGGGCATAAACGACCCTAAACGTAACATAATGTCTAGATTAGCTCTGTGGGCTAATCGAGGCCTCGCCACAGCTAAGAGCATCACTTTATTTATTATTTCCACCAGGAAAAATAAATCAGCAAAGAGGTTTCCTCTGAAAACCTTGAGCTTTTCAGAGGAAGTGTATTGAAGCAATAGATGCTATAAAATTTTCTGATAGACAACTCTGCTGACTTAGGACTTCATATGTGAATCATCTTGGATTGAATATTTCTCCATAATTCCTCTAGATTCTGGGATATTAATTTTCAAATGAATGCAAAATAATCTTTTGTCTGAAGGGAGATCTTTGCACCAGTGAGTAACAAATTATTTTTCTCTTTAGTCCAGTTAAGATTCCTCTGAACTTGTTTCTGATTCAGGCTTAGACAACGATCATGACAGTTGTAGACCTTTTACAACTACATTCCTCTATATGTGATGCCTCTTAAAGCTTTATGAATCACCCTCAAACTATTCAACAGGCTTTGTTTCCCAATCCTCTCCAGGCTGTTACCCTTGTTGCTTCTGCACCTCGTTCCTCCACAGTTTGTCCTTCCTCTGAAATGTCCGTCTATATTCCTGGCTAGTGCTGTGTGAACAGGCGGCTTCTTTAACATTTACTGTTTGAGGTGCTTTCTGCTTATGAAGGGAGGAGGTGACAGTCTGCTGGACAGCCATCAAGTCAGTAGTGGTCTCCATAAATTTGTTTGCCATAACATGATTTTTTTTTTATTGAAAATAAAATTTCTATCAGTCTTGTGTTTCCATTAGCATAAACTAATTCAGAGAATTAACAGAATGCTTGATATGTGTTGTTCTGTGTGTAGTGAATCTAGACAATCTCAGCTTTACCTTTTGAGTTAAATTACCAAAGCAAGTGATGTTCTTTTGATAGCATATTCATACTTTTTGTGATGCACCTCTGCAAAGGCAATTTACTAGCTTTATGTGGACTATGAGGCTCTGTGGGCTAATCTAGACCTCAACACTGCTAAGGGCAATGATCACTTGATGCACATAATCTGGATTTGACACAATAACACCTTTAGATGTTTGTCCTAAAACAAACATGGAGAAGAAGAGACGGTACGTGCTTAAATCTGTTTTAGTGCTTAAAAATAACCAACATACAGGACCTCACTCAAAGAAGCCAAAGAAACGTCTCATGATGTCCTAAAGTTTACTTACCTTCTTCCTGTGGCTGAGAAACGGAGTAGTAATCATCAACGTCTTCTGCAGACTGGTAGATATTTACCTCCTTGTCCTCCCAGTCTGTTCTGTTCTCTTGCTCTTTTCTGGTATATCTCACCTTCTGGGGCAGCTGTACTTTGGCGTAAATATCGGAGGACATTTTGATACAGCAAAGTGCTGAACTTGATTCCTCTGTATTTTGTGAAGTTCAAATCTATATTTGTATATCATGCAGCATCAAAATCTGGCTGTCAGAACTAGTACTTCTAGTGCTAATTTTGACCATCCTGTCATCTGGTTCCAGAAGAAAGAAAATGAGGAAGTGGTTTTGCTTAAAGACACACACACACATTTAGACCAGAAGGTTATTTGCATTTGAAGCCCATACCATGAATTTGTGTTTATCATTATATTGTTGTAAAACAGATAACCTAGCCCAAAAAGACTTTGTTTTTAGGAATAGGGTTTTCTTTTTTGTATTTCATTCATGGTGTGTTGAGGAATGTTTGAACTCTTCACACACCACACAAACACATGCACAGCAGATTAGCATTTTTTTTCCACAGGAAATGTTGACTGTAAGTTCTGTTTTTTGTTTTTTTTTTTTAACGAAGAAACCGAAAGTGTTTCCCTCTGAGCTCTCATTGTTGAGAAACATAGCTTTTGTGGTAATCATCATTCAGATACCTTCAGTTTTAATTATTGAAATTTATATTAATTTATAGTCTCAAAAGCCACTTTGTACACATCGGCTGCTCAGTCATAGAGCAGGTTATGTTCAATGCTGCAAGTTATAGAAGAACGACTGCACCTCTTAATGCTGCCATTATGTTAATGTTTGAACTGTTTGCTAGTCATTCTAATGTGATGTTGTACAAGGAGGAGCTGAAGTGCTGTTCGCTGTATCAGATCTATGAACATTCATATCTGTTAAGATTTTTGCCTGGTTGTTAAATAAATAATGTTGCGGTCCCAGCAGAACATTGTTCTTCTGATATCTGCATTCATTTCAGGTTTGTAGCCTTGTTTATTTCATCCAATACAAACGTTTTTTAATATTGTTTTTTCTCTGAAGTTCAGTTTCTATAGACTTTAGCTTGTTGTTCAGAGTTGAACTTATAGGCAATCAGACATTAGTTTGGTATTTTTCTACTGTTTTAAAAATAACATTTGACTTAAAAATAATAAAACAAAATTCACATTTGAATCTGATTCAGATTTAGCTGTTGACAGATTAAATCATTTGATATTTACATTTTGTACGTTTTGTAAGTTACTAAACAGACCTTCTACTTTTAGCTAATTTAAGCCTTTATGTAATTTTGCAGTATGAAGACTGTTATATTATTGCTGAATTCTTTCCAGCCATTCATTTGAATGCTTATACTGAAGTAGGAAGAAAACTCTACTGGCACATCAGCCCCACCAAGATTGATTTTTCACCAGCTGCTGCTGGATGTTGGTGTTTCTGAATCAAACAAACCAAGAATCAGGTTTTATTTTTATTTTATTTTCCTGAATCATTCTTTTAATTACAAAGCTTAAATCTAACTCTAGGTTTTACTTTGTGGTTGCTGTAGAACTGATTGCACTGGGTTTGCTCTTATAGTAATCATAATTGTAACTTTTCTCTGTATATAGTCCTTAAGTTTTACTGATGTTCTTTTCAGGTTTAAGGTCACCAAGATGCTGGACATTTTTCTTCTCACAGATCCAGTATTTTAATCCAGTTTTGTCAAGCATCCAAAGTCCCTCTTGATCAGTAAATGCTTTCAACCCTTGCTCCGCTTTGACATTTACTCCTTCCCTCCAGGAACTGTAAAAGTGAAAACACCAGTTAGATCAAGAAAGAAGCAGGAATTATTTTAAAAATTGATTATTTTTTTCATTAATGATACTTCTGGCTAAAATGTGTTGCAATTATGAAAAACTGCTGCAGCTGAAAATATGAGCATTTAAAGGCTCACAGCGACTCAGTCCAGCTTTAAATTACCACATATCACTAAAGTGCTGTACAGAATACATTAAAACAATCACATTACAAATGGCATTACTATATTCATATGTCATTTCACTATTGTAACATTCTACTGATCAACCTAACAACCTTTAATCAACCTGCTGACATTGAAATGAAAACCAGTTGAAGATGATAATAAAATTATTTATGCTTAAGTTTCAGATCAATTCATTTGACATTTCATTCGTCACATATGAGACTCTATTCCAAGCTTTAGTATCTGTTGATACCAGTGACAAACGGCTTGTTGGGGTTAACACAGTCTGAGTGAAAATGTGCTGATATGTTCAGCCACATAACACAATTTTATTTATTTCTGTGTCTCAGTTAACCACATATTTGGTACAAAGTGAATCTGCTCACCCATATGCTAGATCTGTTCCATCTACCCATTTCCATTTCGCAGTCCATTCGTCTGAACTTTGAAGACCGATCCAGGAATCTCCATGTATCTTCATTCTTTCAATCATCCCCTGTAGAATTTTTAAAAGCAAATAATGAATTTTGACGATGTACACTTTCAATTGCAGTTCACATTTTTTCCTAATTGTGACAAATTCTTGCCTATTTATTTTATCTATCAAATTATAAACAAACAATATTTAACGCTTGTTTGAAATGACAGAAATCAGACATTGTGAAGCTGTGTATTGTATAAAAGCAACAAGGACAAAATTAAGTCACACTGAAATAAAAATACGTTATTACACATCTTTACTGATCCTTTCAATATTGGAATGACTTGTTAATCAAGTGACAACCTATTTAGTAAGTTACTGTGCTAATATGAAGAAAAGTTATCAAAATTATTGCTCAGTTTTTATTATTATTATTATTATTATTATTATTATTATTATTATTATTATTATTATTATTTAAAAAATAGTGAAATAACAGCACAGTGATCTATACCCAGAGTTTGTTGAGTCAGATGGACTGGCGTCACTGGATTCTTTTCACCAAATTTATATGGATTTTTCCCTCCACTTAGTTAAATTGTTTTCTAAATTTTACCTTAAAAAACAAACTCATCTTGCTGCAGTGGAGGGTTCAGGACAGCAGGCTGCATACAGCCAGGCAAAACTTTTTTTTACTAGCAAGTTTTATTTACAACTACAAATATTGCAGATGTTTTATCTTATCCAAACCACACAGTGAGGTAATATATGTCAGGCAAAAAGTTTATGAGGTGAAAAACTGAAAGGTATTTAACTTAAATGAAAATAGTACAACTGTTTCACACAGTTGAGTAAACCTTAAATTTGTGCAGGATTAGCACAAACATAAGTAAAAAAAAAACTTATACCAGTTCAATATTCATCACTCATTTTATGAGCACCAGGTGGCAGACTAGATCTTCAAGCAACTGCATGTTGGCATCATCAGCCATTGCTTTATTTACTTGGTGTGGAGAGTTTAGATCATATATTTGTATAATTATTTTTTCTTGCGTCAACTAAAGTAAAAAAAAAAAAAATAATCTGCTCTCACAATAGAAATGAGATGATGTGTGATGACTGATATTTTCTTTGACTGGTTAAATGAGGCTGTGATATTTCACTGTGACAATTTGGTACAAAACAAGTAATTATTTAGAGAATGTTTCTAGTCTCTACCTGTTTCTCTTTGTTATTTAGAATCACCAGATCTCCTCCTCTGCTCTTGCAGTCTTTCCTGCTCTCTGTCCAGTTTTTCTTCTGAGTGGATGCATAGTAGAAATATGACTCACGAAGCTCCTGCCATTCTTTAAAAAATGATTTGGTGTTAATTTATTTGACAAAATACAGAATCATGCAATACTGCCTAAAAAAATAATACCAGATTTGAAACATAAACTGCAACTAATGAATTTCGTATCTGTGAAGTTTTGGTCCTGACATTGAAACTCCTGCAATTCTGCAAAGTAACTTACTGTTGATTTGTCTTTTTTCAAAAACAGTAGATAGTTTTCAGCAAAAATTGTAACATTAATTTTCTTTTGGCTCACCTGTTTGTTCCTTCGTGTGATTTTCAAAACGGGTTTGCAACGGTTTCTCAACAACTAAGTGATCTAAAGAAATCAGCAGGAAATGAACAAAGAAACCAGGGGTTAAAACAAAAAAAAAAACCCTTAAAGGTTATGGTGATTTATAAAATGAGATCAAAATCCGATTTCCTACAGATTTTGACTCGAACGCCGATATCCACAACAACCAGAAGGATCAACAGACCAAACATTAGGAAAACAGTGCTGTAGGGTTTTCCTTGGACAGCGAGGGGAGGCTTTTCAGTCTCTACTCCTTTAAATGACAAAATAAACACATTTTTGAAAGCCTTTATTTCCGGTAATTATGACTTCCCATTTACAGTTAACAAAACATATTTAAAATTAGAATATTACATCAGTAATGCATACAAAATTCAAGATGTTAATTTAAATTCACTATATTTCCTGCATGGAATCAGCTTAGTGTTGTTAATAGTAGCAAATATTTCCGGTAACACTTTATTTGACGGGGTGTGCATAAGACTGACATGACACTGTCATAAACATAACGCCTGTCATAAACATTATTTATGAATGTTTATGACAGTTGTCATGAAGTGTCATTCGGTAAATAATTACACTTTTAATGCAAAGTTGCTCTAAAAGTTGCATTGAAAGTCAATTAGAAATGCCAACTTTGCATGATTTTGTAAATTATGATAATTTAATTCAAGGTTGGCATTTTTAATGGACTTGCGATGCAACTTTTAGAGCAACTTTGCATTAAAAATTTCTTTATTTACCAAATGACACTTCATGACAACTGTCATAAACATTCATAAAGACTTCTTTATGTTCATGACAGATGTCATGTTTTTGACAGTATCATGTCAGTCTTATGCACACCCCTTCAAATAAAGTGTTACCGTATTTCCTTCTTTTCTGCAAAACAGTGATAAATAAATGAAAACAAACAGAAAAAACAAATAAAGACCCCAAAGGCGGAGAGAAGGGTCATTATATATTTGATTGTGTTGTTTATATTCTTTGTAAAACAGACATTTTTCAAAGAATGTCTGTTTGAAAAATGTCTGCAAAGTGCTCTTATCGCAGTAAAGATCAGAATACTTTATCTGTGCGATTTTGTTAAAATGTACCTGTTTTACGACATGGTCTTTGCTGTTTGATACTTACCTTCATTCTGTAGAGAAAGACCAACACCAAGGTGTGTAGAGGAATCTGGAGTCTGAACCGTTTCCTCTCCACTGTCCGGAGAGAATTCACTGCCACTTGTAGGTGTGAACTCGATGTTCTCATACATGTTGCGAGATTTCTCAAGAAAGATGCAACTGAAAGCAGCATTTTGTTTCTCATGCCAAGCAGACAAATTCTTGGTCTCTTTTTCAAACCAATCAGATGTCAGTAGGAAGTACACAGGATGTTGTGGCAGGAAGCCATGCACACAAATACTAAAAGTTTAATCTTTAGTTAGAAACAAATTCCATATGTTGCATAATGTGTTTATCTCTCATCTCATAAAAAAGCTACTCAAATGTAAATGTTGAAATAAATGTTGATACATCAGAGTTTCACTGAGCTAGTATCAATTTTCTGACTTGTCGTTGTAAGTGGTTTTTCTACTAAATTAAATAATTGTTTTTCGGTGGAATTTCCGTTTGTTTTCTTGACCTGTCAGTATTTAAAGATGCTCAAAGTTCAATTGATTTGATTTAGAGTCACATTGAGTATAACATGAACACCAGCAATTTATTAGTAGACGGCTGAAAAAGGTTGAAGTGTATCACCACGTTTTTTTTTATTCCTTTATCTTATCTTTGCCTTTATCTTTATCTTCTTCCGACATGGAAGAAACAAACATGATTAAGATAAGATGGCAGCAGCTCTTTCTGAAACGGCACAACTGACTACTGCTGCTCAAAGCAAATAAAAAAAATAAAAAAATACTCAACTAAAATTCAAATGCATTGCTTAGGTTGGGTAGACAAAAACCCATTGGCATTACATCAAAATATGATTTGAGTATAAATAAAAAGCAGTTATTGGAGTAAGAAAAGCATAAAGATTAGTGTTTCTGGTTTGAGCATATTGTCTGATTTATTTATTTTTCATTATTAATATTTAAATAAAACAGAAAATAATACTCGTATTCTGTGTATAAAAAAAAAAAACGACTAATAATAACTAACATCTTTTCAAAATGCAGATTAAGGCACCAGAAACAAAACTTTTACCTACAGCTTTTGAAGTCAATACACATATGAAATAATCTTTGCACATTTGAACAGTACAAAATACCTCCAGTCTCAATACTTTATAAAAAGCCTCTGACTCCAAATTCCACCATGTGGCAATGCTTTAGTGACATATAAAGGGTTGGTGTGTGCAGCATCAGTGCAGCAGAGAAATGAGCTTCCATGGCTTCACCTGCAGCGTTTAGCCAGCTGCTCCAGTGCAGCCTGGGATTTGTATTTAAGTGGTTTATATTCTTCATCAGGTTTGTTTTTATCTTGCTTTGGTTATCTTTCCTTAATTAGAAAAGCTAGAAAATACAATGTACTTAGTATATAGTGCTTAAGTTTTACTGATGTTCTTTTCAGGTTTAAGGTCACCAAGATGCTGGACAATTTTCTTCTCACAGATCCAGAATTTTAATCCAGTTTTGTCGTGCATCCAAAGTCCCTGTTGGTCAGTAAATGCTTTCAACCCTTGCTCCGCTTTGACATTTACTCCTTCCCTCCAGGAACTGTAAAAGTGAAAACACCAGTTAGATCAAGAAAGAAGCAGGAATTATTTTAAAAATTGATGAATTTTTTTTCATTAATGATACTTCTGGCTAAAATGTGTTGCAATTATGAAAAACTGCTGCAGCTGAAAATATGAGCATTTAAAGGCTCACAGCGACTCAGTCCAGCTTTAAATTACCACATATCACTAAAGTGCTGTACAGAATACATTAAAACAATCACATTACAAATGGCATTACTATATTCATATGTCATTTCACTATTGTAACATTCTACTGATCAACCTAACAACCTTTAATCAACCTGCTGACATTGAAATGAAAACCAGTTGAAGATGATAATAAAATTATTTATGCTTAAGTTTCAGATCAATTCATTTGACATTTCATTCGTCACATATGAGACTCTATTCCAAGCTTTAGTATCTGTTGATACCAGTGACAAACGGCTTGTTGGGGTTAACACAGTCTGAGTGAAAATGTGCTGATATGTTCAGCCACATAACACAATTTTATTTATTTCTGTGTCTCAGTTAACCACATATTTGGTACAAAGTGAATCTGCTCACCCATATGTTAGATCTGTTCCATCTACCCATTTCCATTTCGCAGTCCATTCGTCTGAACTTTGAAGACCGATCCAGGAATCTCCATGTATCTTCATTCTTTCAATCATCCCCTGTAGAATTTTTAAAAGCAAATAATGAATTTTGACGATGTACACTTTCAATTGCAGTTCACATTTTTTCCTAATTGTGACAAATTCTTGCCTATTTATTTTATCTAATACCAAATTACAACAAAACAATATTTAAATCTGGTTTGAAATGACAGAAATCAGACATTGTGAAACTGTGTATTGTATAAAAGCAACAATGTCACTCACAAATAAAATGATTATCGCATTACTCTTGTTCCTATCAATGTAGAAATTAATCATTAATGAATTGGCAGTCTGTATGGTAAATTATTGTACTTACACGTTAATTTATTCAAAATATACTGATGTAATCTAAAAGATTCTAAGAAAGATGACCAGTAACATGACAGTACGGTCATCTACACCCAGTTTGTTGAAGAATTTGGAGACGACTAAATTTATCTGACATGAATTTCCCCCCACTAAGTTAATTTGTTGTCATGCAAGATGCAGTTTTACACACCTTAAGCATCAAAATGTTATATTACATTAGAGTTAGAATGAACTGACAGGCATAAAGAAGCTAAATTTATATTTCCACACTTTGAAAATTCTTATATACTAGGTTTTGGTATAATTGAAAAGTCTGTCATCATATTTCTTCAAAAAATATATTGATCAGATTTTTAGTATGTCTGATCAAAAAGACAAATAAATACTAAATGCAAGCTGTTTTTTTTAATTCTTATTTCAGAAAGCTGAAATAAGAAGAGAAAAACAGATATTACTCTTACTACAGGAGTGTTTAGGAAAGCAGGACTATTTTTTACTTTCATTGCCATTTTCACCATTAAGTTTATGAGCACCAGGTGGCAGACTAGATCTTCAAGCTACAGCACGTTGGCATCATCAGCCATTATTTAATTTTCTTAGTGGGGAGAACTTTAGAACATATCTTTGTATATTTATTTTTATGTGTCGCTTAAAGGTATCAAAGTCAATGTGTTCCTACAATTACAGGGAAAAGTGATGTTTTCTTGCTACTATTGCACTTTGTCTGAATTACTGTGACAGTTTGGTCCAAAAAAAAACATGTAGTATTACACAAGTGACTGTTCTGAGAATGTGACTAGTCGTCTTGGATTCAACTGAGAAAAAAACTCATAATGATCTTATAACAAGCAAACCTGTTTCTCTTTGTTATTTAGAATCGCCAGATCTCCTCCTCTGCTCTTGCAGTCTTTTCTGCTCTCTGTCCAGTTTTTCTTCTCAGTGGATGCGTAGTAGAAATGTGACTCACGAAGCTCCTGCCATTCTTTAAAAAAAATTATTTATTTTTTTTTTTATTTGCAACATCGCAATACCAAAAGTATTGCAATGTAATTAATGTCCTACCTGTCTGGTTCTGGTTTTCTTGTCCCTGGTTCGGACAAGAGGAATGTTCTTTAGGTTTCATACGTATTAATAGAGCTACATGAAGAATAAGCATGAATGTTAAAATGAAGGAATATTTGTGGGTAAAGAGATGTTATCCAAATAAAGGTGAAGTTTTACTTACTGAGTAGCACACTTATCCCCGCCAACAACAGGAGGCAGAGTAAACCCAAAGTTACCGTAGCAACCTTGTACCAGTTTCTCTGGATGGTTGGTGGACGCTTTTGAGTCCGAACTCCTACAAAATCAAGGAGGAGTTTGACTTTTTATCTTTCAGAGTTTTAAAATGTATTATAATTACAAAGTATTGACTTGATACAGCAAAAATAGCTGCTGTATTATAACAGTTATTTTTATAACTGTTATAATTTTTTGTACACAAGACAAAAAAAACTAGCTTTGACATGAACTGTGTGGAGACGTCTTTATATTCCAAAATGACACGTCAAATCTATGTTAGCAATTTAACTATTTGTACAAAATGTTCTAAATGAAGCACATAAACAATATAAATGTTTTCCTTTAATTAAATGGTTGTGAAACTACAAATTTATGCCAAAATGTTTATGAAAAAGCAAAATTTAAAAAAGTTATATGTCTGAATCCTGAAATGGCTGCAGAGTTACAGCCATTGCATAATGAAGCAATGTCAAAACTAATGCAAAGTCAATCAGTTGCAATAAATATATTTAATTAAAGATGTGCCTGTTTTTACTTTTCCTTTTAAATTTTAGCACATTTTCCAATGTCAAAGCATAATATATTCATTGATACCGAGAAGATAAATAATGCAACCTTTTTAATATCTGATACTTTCTCAGGTTTTGTCAGTATCAAACCATACCTGGAATATTTAGAAAGCTGATTATGTAGTAAATATTTATGATTCATTAAAACCTACCTCGGGCGTTCCTGGAGGGATTAACTCGATGGCAGGTCAACGTCTCGGCACTCTCGTAGATGTCGACCACTTTCTCCTCCTTCTCCTCTTTCTCCACTTTCCTTCCTTTTCCTCTCACTTCTTTGCTGTACCTCACTTTCATGGTCTTATCCGGGTCTTCGTAAATGTTGCAAGACATCTCAAGATGGACGGAAGCAGATTGTTCCCTTACTCTCCTGCAGGACTTAAGAAGTTGTTTCAGTAGCACGAGTTCCTCTTCTTTCTTAGCTCAATCAAGTCATTTCAAGTAATTCCACCAGAGTTTCAAAGTCGATTTGATTTTTTTATTTATTTTTTCTCTTAAAACCCCAAAAATTAGGATACCGAAGCTAATGTGTGAGGTTTTGTGCCAGGTTTGCTGCTTTTGTGTAATAATCAGCTCTTGACAGGAAGTACTGAGATGGTTATCACCGGAGAACATATACGCACCAGATGGCTTATCGCGTCACAGTACAATACATTAAGCTGAGAGGAACTTTTAATATAAAAGTTGTAATAACTGATTTATGTTTTGACACATTTTTTTCTCGTCAGGACTGCCTCTTCTTGAATGTGCGATATCTGTTGATTTTTAGGGTTTTGCTCTAATGATTTTTTAGAGTCGCAAAGTAGAATTTCTTTTGATAAACAAGCTAATTAAAAAGCTGTAAGTATCGTAAAGCAGCCATTAACTTAAAGATTTACTTAAGTAGTGACTATAAAACATGACACAGATGTAAGTGGTTTATTTTCCTTCCCTGG